GGATGTGTCCGAATGTGATGCGCTCGACTGACTGTGTGTTCAAAACACATTTGATCCATTCACTTAAGCCTGCTGTCATAGGTTAATTCCTGAAACTCCAGTCTGCAACTGTAGTTCCCTGCACATCACTGCTAAACTACACAGCTCAGTATATCTGTAAACACAGATTTCATAAATCAATCATATATTTTAAGGAGATCTTCTCTTTTGTCACCACAGCAAACCTTCACCAGTCGAACATCAACAGAAAAATGATGGTCTACATTTTCACACAAGAACATGTTGTGTCAAACTATTGTAGTAAAAGTACAGAATAAATGCAAGGCATCAGTGTAAGGGAACATGTGAAATGCAGATTTGTGAAATCAGGAAATATGCTACTGACAATACACATACGTCACACACATGTTGTCTGTTAAACTGGGACAGCTGCAGCTTGTTGCTGTGTCCCGGAGCTCGGTCGTCACTAATACCACAGGAAGATCACATTCCTCATTGAAGACGGACACATTTAGCTCAACAGCTTATCAACAAACATCCTTCCTCTTACTACACGACAAAAGTATTTTATTATTAAGCTGTGTCAGTTCCCTTCACTATAACAGTTAGTCTTTTTAAAGCTTTTTTTTTGTTCATAAATAACTGCTGTAATGTTGCAAGTACCACCAGTCAGACCATAATCATTTCTCAGTCATGTGGGATGTGCTGCAGCTTGTAAGCCAGCCTTTGTATCCATACAAACTGAAGGGTCAGTGTTTAGAGTCAGCATGTCCCATGCTTGCTTTTGCCCCTGGCCCTCAAATGATTTATTTATGCATGATGCGTCTAATATTACTGCATTACTTTAGCACCAAATGGGGAAGATTCTTCATCTTGTTTGTTGTTTTCGTCACTGTCAATAATCTCTATTTGCATCAGAGGCATGTAGCTTCTGCCTTGGGTTTGACCACAGCGTGCAAGCATTTGGTTTTGTGGTAGCAGTCTATGACGTTTTCAGGTCGCGGTTCACTAACACAACCCGGATAAACTTGCCTTGCTTGCTGAATGAGTCTGCACAGATGCCCTCATTATAGCCAAACTCTTCTTAATCAAAAAAAATATTAGTACAGATGTTATACATTTTAGCAGCCAAACACATCTGCCTGCAACTTTGTGATTTCTATCTGCTCATATATATGTTCTTTGGGTGTGACATCATCTGCTCAGAGCTGCAGTTGGGGTAGAAGACAGGATGCCAGACATTCCTCGAATACTCCACACAGGATCTCACTTCTGCTTGTGAACACAACCCCGTACCTCCAGTCAGTGGAAAAATACAGGCTGTTCAGAGTCAGCGGGGTGAATGAGGCTCTAGGGGGATTGATATGTGTCTTACTTCTGGCTATCATTCAAACATCTGATGATTTTTATGAAGAGTGTTGTTACTGGCCAATATGCAGAAGTTGTTACTTCTGATTATTTACAGCTTAGTGAATTAGAGAATTGATGCCCCACTTTTATAGTAGCAGAACTCTCTTATCTAGGTGGAACTGCCATGAACATCAACAGAGATCAACGTCATAAAACATCTTTGGAGATGCCCTGGATGATATGACCGGTCCACCAGCAGTGCACACCTTTAGAGCCAACACAGTTTCTCTTCCACTGTTGTCTGACATTCCAGACAGGGTTGTTAAAGGAAGGGGAGCCCTGCTGGCAAGGAAAAGCCACTTCACTACAGCTATACATAATGCCCTGACATTCCTTGGGCTGTACAAATCTTTGCCTATCATGTCGCAGATCTGACCTTATCTCGGCTCCTGTCACGCAACAGCAGCTTGTCCTGGCCTCTTTCGCAGGGTTTCTGGTAGAGTTTTGCTCTGGAATGTCCTGAATACAGAAGGCTTCATATAGGAGCGGTTTCTTTATCAGCAGTGATAGAAAAAGCAAAGGAGCTTATCACATAAATCACCATCACTGTCTTTACAATAAAGTTCCATGTTGACTCTGTTTTTGACAATGCCCATATGAGATGTGGCATCCGGCACAAACCGAGTGAGTGTGTCTGGTGCACTCTGTGTTCATGCAAGGGTTAGAACAAGCCACTACAATACTTCAGCCACGGGACGTTACAGATGCCTCCCCATCACGGTCATAATCCTCTTACAGATTTACTGCAGGTGAGTATTCTGCCATGACATCAATGTGTGGACTAAATCTTCTCACCCAGGATATCGTGTCTGTGTGTCAGAAAGGATGTGTGTGGTTGTGTGTGTGTGTGTGTGTGTGTGAGAGAGAGAGAGAGACTTAATCTAGTTTCAAGGTACGATGAAGTGTGAGAGGTAATTACTCAGCAACCCCCAGTAATCAGACCAGCAGTCACGTTCCCAGAGGAAGTCAGGTTAAATTATGCAGGTATATTGTCATGTCCCTCTGTAACCTTTTCCTCATTGACGGTGATTTGATGCTCGGTATTATTTTTTCCATCAGAGTGACTTGAAAAGACAGCTGGTGTGATGCATTCCTGAGGTATGAAATTGATTAGAAAAACAACTCCCCCTCCTCGGACATCTGACAGTTTCAATTTTCATTATGACTTGAATGCAGAGGCAGAGAGAAGACTCAGAAGAAACCCACTGCAATGAGTCTTGATATATTGACTGACAATCGACTCATCAGGTTTTTATGACTCAGATTTAGGAAACTCTGTCCTGCTAACACATCACAGGACACATGATGGCCCACATGTTTTTGTTTGATAATATGAAAACAACATGGATCAGGGAAAAAACACACAAAAAAAAAACACAATTTTTTTTTCCTTTTCAGTAATGCTAGACAAATGTGTGCTTTGTGATCAAGCAAACCCATCTGTAGAGCCAAATGTAAACCCTATGGCCACAATTGTTACCACTCTACAAATAAGTGGATTACACAGTGAAACAAAAAACCCTCTTTGGTAATTAATGTACAACATTGCCCAATGATTCCCAATACACTGATCAAGTGCTGTGGCACTGCTATGACGATTAGATATTAGCAGTATGTTACTAGCAAATCTTTCACATTGCAGGGAGTATTATCTGATTCCATGTTAATATCAACAACCTTGCTTAATTGAACTTGAAGGTCCAAATAAGAAAAGGACTTTAACCTGGTAGATTATTCTGTATGTGTGAGAGAATTCAATGCAAATGTCAGTCTGTTATACATAACTGGTGTGAAAGGGACAGGAAACTGAGAGAACACCACAAGCTGCCACAGATTTGATCCAGACTAGATGATGTATTAGGGAGGGGTGGGATTTTCTCTCTTCCTGTCATGGCAGCAGTGTCTCACACGTTATATAATCTTTGTTTCTTTAGGACTGTGTTAATTAAAATGACTTTGAAGTTGGATCAGAGCTTAGCTGCCAAAAGGAACGGCCAATTGACAACATAGTGAAACTGGCAAATGACGTTATAGTTAGTACTGTCTCACAGATATTGAAAATGTGAGGATATGATAAGACAGGGATAAAAACAATCTGACTTAAGTTTGAATGTTGGTCTGTACAAAAATCAGTCAAGATGAACAAACAGCCTTGTTTCAGGATTGAGCTTCATTCTGAGCGCTTCTTGACATTGTCTCACACCACATACAGATCACTTCACACACACGCACTCTTAAAATCACAATGCTTTAATGTCCCAGACCCCCCCCCCCCCCCCCCCCCCAGCTCCCAACCTAGCACCCTCATCAGATTATTTAAAAGCATGCACTAACGACTTTCACACACACACACACACACAGAAACGAACACACACTCCTGCCAACCTCCCTCCTGACAACAGGAAATCTAAAGACACAAAGGCGGGTGGGCTGGTGGGGGGCGGGGGATGCACATATGTCACCAAAACGACAGCTTCTCTGAGGAAGCTGGTGAGGTAATGAATGAGCCTTTCATCACAGACACATCGTCACTACTGATGTTTTCTTTCAGAGACAAACATTTACATTGTCAGATAAGAGGTGGATATCAGTAAGACGAATACATTTTTTCATTTGTAGAAACCAGTTATTTATAGTCAGAGTGTTCTCAAACTTTCTGGGTTTCTCCCCCTGAACCTTTGCTCTTTGTAATGAAGGCCTTGGGATATCATCATCATCACCTCTACAGGAAGTTTTTTTTTTTTTTTTTGTCTTTTTTTCTCACACCCCATCAAGGGTCACAGCCAATGTTTTGGCTAATTTGCAACCCAAACATATTCCTTTCCCTTTCACGGCCGTCTCTGTCCCCACCTCCCCATTGGTGTGTGAGGCAAGGACACAAGGCTGGTGCTTGACTGAGCCCTGAAAGCTCTTTAGTTGTCACACTTTTCCCAAACGCCTTGCAGCTGCTCCTATTGTGGCCACAGAGGGAGGGCTCCTTAGCTGAGTCTTTAGGCCTCCTGCTGTTGCCCTGGCCTCAGATGGGTTTGTAGAGAGGGAGTGTGGTCCGAACAATGGCTGACACTATGACATCATGCTTCTTCTGTAGGCAAAATCCTTATGCAGATATATGATAAGATTCCATCGCATGGAACAAAATAGGGAAGGATGGGCACTAAGATGTTTCTGACATGCTAGAAGATGAAATGCTGTCTATGTTGTCTTTTTAGTCCTTATAAGCATCAAAATTAATAAACGTGTATTTTTTATATCTATATATCTATTTACCTGAAACTAATAGTCGGTTGTGAGCAAATATTTTGATAAAAGGTTAATTGTAGGAAATTCTTAAGCAAACACGCTAAAGATTTTACAGCTTCCATTCAAAATGTGTATATTTGCTAGTTCGCTTGTGTTTTGGACTGTTGGACTGGACATAACAAGCAATCTGAGTATGTCAACTGGCTTTGGGAATTTGTGCTTGACCCTTTTCCTTACTATTTTCTCATTAAGCAAACAATTAATTGAGAAAATAAATCAATTATCAGATTAAATCAATAATAAAAATCATGGTTAATTGGAGAGATGAAAAAAATGAGCAGATCTCTAACTGAATACAAAATTCAAATGAGATTTATTCAATGGTATAAAAACAACAATTTAAACAAACATATGCAAAAATAGATATGATAAAGAAATATATTACTTTAGTTCAATAAATATGTCAGAATGCAGTCACTGAAGACTACGTGGCCCCATTTTAGTAGTTTTTGGGGTTCTGTCTGCCTCAGCGCTGCAGTACACAGTACAGAAACATGAGGTATTTAATGGTCGGTTTCCCCAATGTGTCAGGATCGTCATGGTTTCATGATGTCATGAAAGGCAGGTGTTTGCGTTTGAATTGGCAACCCCACTGAACTCTCAAACTGAACATGAAGATTTCTGCCACATCCACATGAAAAGAGGGGTATACATTCATTGTTCGTCAAATGAAGGAGTAACTTCCATGCCATTTTGCACAACAGGTTAATACTGCTCTCTTTAACCAGTACAGAAAGCAAACTAGACACTTGAGAGGATATATCAACATTCCTGAGACAACTGTCAGCCCTCTCCATTTTGTTTAGTTTAAAAAAAAAAATGATTGTGATTATCAAAAGCAGTTGCCTTCATAAAAGTCCTTTGAATAAGGAATATTCAGATACTTATAATTTCCTCTAAAGGAATAACCTCAACTATTTTCAGCCATTTCCCAAGTCATCCAGGATCGGATACTGTGGATAACTTTCACATTTAGGATGTTAAACATCAATACTGCCTATCGGTAGTTAGCAAATCTCCCCTTGAAATGATGAGGCTGACCAACAGACATTTGGCCAGCGGATCAGAGTCAAATGTACTGACCCCAAAGAATAGCTCCCAGTCTATCTAGTGATACCAGTATCACCAATAAACGGATCATAATCAGGACTGTGTTTTGTGCAGTGCTCTGTGTAGAGTCACTGGCCAGGTGCAGTTCAAGTCCAAACAAAATCTGTATTGCCCACACTTTCCTCAGCAGCTGGGAGACGTGGTGATAGGACTGTGGAGGAATGACAGCTGACCAGCTGAGGTGTGTACAGGGATAGAGACGGGGAAATTGAAGACCGTGCTGCTGCTGCCAATAGCTGGACTGCCTGCCTCTGAGGAGCATGTAGACGAGGCCAGGACCTGGGACTCAAACTGGAGGAGCTGACCCATGAAGCTGAAGTTGGGGGAGATGATGCTGCGGCGCTGTTTGACAAACTCAAAGGCCTCATCCAGCTTCACACGGTTGGTCCGCATGAGGTAGGCAAGGCAGATGGTGGCGGAGCGGGAGATGCCTGCTTGACAGTGCACAAATACGCGGCCTCCTTTATTTCTCACCGAGTCTGTGGGGGTGAAGAGAAGAGAAATCAAGATTAGTGCACCATTAACACCTTTGAGGTGATGGCATCTAGACTGAAGGTTACAACACAGCCTGTCACAGGAAACCACAAGCACAAAAGTCTTTGCAACACTTTCTGTTGCTATTTAAATTCAATGGCGCTCATTAAGACACAGGAACACAGTTAAGAGGGGTGCAGGGTGTGAGCCTGTGGGGGTTATTCCCAAAGGAGGCAGTCTGAATGGACAAAGGAGGGGAACAGACCCCTGCTGGGGGTATTGATCTGGGAGGAAGGCCGACAGTGAGTGAGGAGAAATTGCCTTTTGTTCAGTCAGAACAAAGAGTGGCGTGGAAGGAGCTATTCAAGCCCAGCCATCCTACCCACTACAAAACTAGTTTGGGGCCACTGCCTCACGATTCATTTAAAAGGGGGCATCCCTTTTTCTACGCCTGAGAGGTGGCGATGATGTAATCACTATTGTGGTGGAGTGAGGAGCCTGTGCCGAGCCAGCTGGTCGGTTTTGGAGGGAACTTTTTAAAATTTAAATCCGGGAGTCAAAGAGTGAAGTGAAGGAAGAGGGGGGTTGGGTGTTTGTGTTGCCTGCCATCAACGGGCTCAGGAGGTAACAGCTGTGATAGGTGCTCACATTTGGCAGTGGACGGATTGTAAAAGGTGTAAAAGCAGTGGATGTACTCACCGATAAACTCAATCGCCTCGTTGAACCAGGAGCTGATATCGGCTTTGTGGTTGTCCTCAACAGGGATGCTCTTGTAGAGGAAGGAGTCCTCAAAGTGGTTGGGGCAGTTGGCAGAGACGTTGATTAAAGCGGTGATCCCCAGCATGTCCAGCATGTCTTTTCTGGAGGCATGGTAAGCACTGCCAAGGTACAGGAAAGGCAAGATCTCCACAGGACCCCCCTATACCGAGGAAAAATAAAGAAACAACCCATTCAGTCAACAAAAGCTCCATAGCAGAACATCAGGAAGTGAAAAAAAGTTTGTGTTCTTGTATTGAGTTCTATCTATGATCATACAAAATAAACATACACAAACCTGATCATATAAGGGTGTATTGCATGGACTGCAGCTTGGGTCTGCACTACCGGGATGGCTGGAGCTCAGGGGCAAACTGAGCCCTTGTGGAGGGGAAGGTTTGGTGCACATCTCTGGATACTCAGTGGAAAATGTGTCAAATCCACCTACAAAAAAGGGGTAAATTCGTCAAGGTCAGATCACAGGACAGCACAGAGACACATCCACATTTAAATACGGGTCTCCAAAAGGTGACAACTGCTCAAGCGGCTATTTTGGAACATTGTTTACTCCCAGCACCAGCTGGTATGGTATGGTGACAGCTGTAATCCGCATTTGTTGTCCCGTTGTTAGGATACAGTAAAACAATTGTGTAGGGCTCTTTTACACAGTGGAACCCACTCTTTTCTTACCTTTAAGAATAAAAACACTGGCTCCACAGGGGTCGCGACACAGGGCCGTAACAGCAAGCATCAACGTTCCGTCTTTCTTCGCCTGGCTTAAGTCCAAACTGCGATCGTCAAGCAGCACCACGGACTGGTACTCTCCGGACAGCAGCCTATTCCTGGTGTCCTCGTTGGGGACAATGTGCTCAAGTCCCAGACCCCCCCTCGCTCTCCTGCGCACTATAGTGCTGAAGCGCACGTTGGTGGAGCCCGATATGTGGGACGAGTTGAAGGACAGGAAGGAGCGGCAGTCCAGAAGCAGGCAGCCCGGAACGTCGCCCTCCATCAAGCCACGCAGGGACGCACAGTCGATGGTGGGGACCTCCATTATGACCATAGTAGGACGGCGGGATAGAAGTATTAAATCCAAATACATAAAGAGTGTAAGGCCCGACAAAAGAAGTTTGGACTGTTGTGAAAAAAGGCTTCTGGCCAAAGTTACAAAGTAATATTTGAAGCGGCGAGTCCTTTGTTCCGGTTTGCTTGTTTAGAAAGAAAAAAACACGCAGACAAACAAACAAAAAAAAACTTTTAAGACTATATCAGCTGGTCCTTTCCTCTTCTTGAGTGTATCCGGTAGGTGCGGTTCTTTAAAAGTTTGGTTGCCTATAATGAACTTTACAGTGAGTAGCTTCTGACTCTGAGCGCCTCGGGAAGCGTTTATATACGGCTCGTGCTTGTGAATGAAAAGCTACTGACGTCAGGGGCCGCCCCTCCTGGCCTGCTGCCAGCCTTGCGGACGTCATCGTGCCCGCCCAGCGTGCAGCGGGAGCGGGACACAGCGGGGCTCGCGCACATGCGTGACATTTCTGTACATGCGCAGCGCACGCGGGCACGCGGTATTAGGCCAGTTTTGAGTATGAGGGAGAGGTCTACTTTTTCTTTCTTTCTTTCTTTCTTTCGTTCTTTCTTAACTCTTGACGGTATAGCACTAAAACAGAAAAAAGATTTTTTAAAAAGCAGTAAAAAGACAACATCAGTTGTGAGAGCATAATGGGTAGGGCCCACAAGATGACTAAAATGTAGGCCATCAGTTTAGTCATAGCCTACCCTTGGTGATCTCAGAACTTCACTCTGCCCAAATAAAACCTGTTTTTCTTCTTTTTGTTTTCTTTCATTGAGTCACATCAGTCATGTGAGTGGACAAACTACGAATTACTATCACTAGAAATCTGAAGTTACCAAGAAACTAAAATTTGATGGACTGGTGTATTTTAATTCTATGTAAATAACAATTCCATTTTAAATGTCATAACATTAACTCAGCTAAAGAATGATTCTTTGTATGCTCCATATTAGTTGGTTTAGTTGGAGTGGTTAAACTAGGAAAAATGCAGTCATATCCTGGTCTAATAAAGGTTTACAATCATCATCATTATCATACTTTTATCACACTAAATAATAATCAGTCATTTTCTAAAGTGTTTGTGTAAAGAATCTGTATGTCAGTAAATAAGGAATTTGCCAAATTTTCCATGATGTTAGTGTTTAATTAGATTTCAATTTTGCCTCTTCACCTGAGAGTTGACAAATAACAAGATAATAAGTAAATATCTGCCACAGGTGCCATAAAAGTTTATTCTTTGTTTTTATTAGTCAGAGGTACATAGTGTTCAATGCCCCGAGAGCAAAGGCTAACCATAAAAGTTAATCACTGTATAGAAATCTGAAGTCCAGTAAATTTCCACATGCTGAGAAACAAAACACCGGTCTACCAGGAAGACAACAGCAGATGGAGATCTCCTGACCTGTAAGTTATGTTTCATGTGTGACCTAATTGAAACAAATGGATGAGGTGGTTTTCCCAAAATTTGTGTGTATATATATATTTTTTTTACAGCAAACACGATCGCAATCACCCTGGGAAACCCTTTTCAGATGTTGGTGTGGTTTGCTGACTCAGAGTGGACAACACTTCTGTCTCACAAAAAGGAACCGGGAGGATCATTATTGACAGACAACAGGCATCCACTGACAGGAGGGTGTGTGTTAAAATCTTTGAGTCTTGAAACTACACAGCAGAGACATGCCAGGGTTGGTTGTTTTGTTGTGAAACAAATGTTTACTTAGCAGACTTAAAATCAGGTAGTATTGCAACATTGCCCTGCATTTAAAATCCCATTGAGTTTCAGCTCAGCAGTGCTTCATTAGTTACATTGTTAATGTTATCACACTGTCCTAAACATTTATTCTATTTGTATTAACAACTTATAATAAAAACTATAGGAGTTTCACATTGTATATTGTTCCCAAAGATCAGGCTGACATATAGGCCATAACGTCATTCTCACTTTACTGTAACTTGTGAATCCACATCCATTCTGTTTTGGCCCAGTGTTTTAACTTCAAGCAAAGGGAAGATGGATGTGTTATGTGAGAAAGGAAGAGGGGGAGGGGAGGGGAAGCTTAAAGGACAGAAACTTAAGAATCACAACAGAGTGCAAAAACTCTCCAGCCGGTTTAACCTCACACTCCTGTGAGATGAATCAACTGTGAGGCACATGCCACAAAGCAGGAATGTTACACACTCTACAGGGGAGTGGGGTCAAACAGGTTCTGAAAACAGTCTGTACCCAAACATTTTGTCCTCGCTCTAAATGCGTCCCCCAAGTCATGAAGTGGTGGACTTATGTTCTGGAAGTTATAGGAAAGAAATTAGACAACTGATGACGAGTTGAACAGAGGCAGCTAGTAGGCTACAATGATGAAGCAACATTTTTCTCCATGGTCATGATAAGCAGAAAAAAAGGTATGAATCCAAAACTTGGATTTCAATTACACAAAAATTCCTGTTCTTTACATGATGACATTTATCAGTGCAAATGTCCTCCTAGAATAAGAATACAAATGTGTGAGTGTTTGCGTTGTGGACTGTAAATGACACAATATTGAAATTGAGGTCTGAAAATAGAGCCTGGATTGTTGCTTTGTTTCTGATTCCCATAATTATGGCCCACAACCAACTGTAGCTCTCATCCAGAAAGGGAAGTGAAACAGAGGATGAGAGGCATTTCCTGCGGTCTGGCCTCGCTGTCACTTGCTGTCATCCCTGCCTGTTTACTGTCATTGTTACTAGGGGCAACAACTGAGCCATCAGTGGGAAAACACAGGGTCTGTCCTGTCCTCTAGTGTCTCAATGGCCGACACATTATATGACCCAAGAACATTTAATTTCATGCATATATGAGTGTGGGGAGACCAAAAAAACTTGAGTTGCAATGGGAAGAATCTCAAGTGCTGTTTCTGGGTTGTGACTATAATAGCCTACACTCCAATATACACAGATACCTATATATCTGATGTACTGTATGTAATACTCAAAATGTAAAAAAAAAAATTCCTGCTGAAAAAATACATTCACTTTCCTTTCATTTATGTTGAGTCTGGTCAAGGCAGAGGCCATTTGTCTTGAAAATGAATTTGCCTATCAACTGATCTGATCTGATACATAAGTTTACAAGTTTACTTTCTTCTAGTTGTGACCTTTTTCTTGTTGTTGCATGTAACAAGTAGCTTAATCCATTTTGATTAATTATTTGCAGGCTTTTCTCACAATGTTCTAAGAGTTTTTTAATGTCACCCAAAGAGTGTAGTTGATACATTTTGGGTCACCAAGGGCATTAGACGTCACCACAGGAATTTTTAATAAAAATGTCTTCAAGGCAAATTTCTCATAAAGGCCACATGGTTTATGTCTTGTTGTATGAGGCTGTCACAGAGTAACCAGATAAACATACAGTTACTCCCTAACCAAAGTTGGAAAGTTTGGACTAATAAACTTCAGTATACGATGTGGATGTATTCAGTGAAACTCCTCTTAAATAAAGTAATTTCCTGTATAACCTGTTCTCATTCTTCAAATGTAGGCTAATTGATGTGTTCATGCTACATCAAGTTCATCACAAACCGGTAGGCTATGTGTTATGTTGTTACATTAGTTATTGTAGAATATGTCATTTTATACTATTTTTAGGATGCCCTCTTAAGATCTAGCCAGAGAAAAAAGACAAACTAGGGTTAGCTGATTTGGTTAACTGTAGCTTACTCACTTATTTTTTTTCTGTAGATAAATAAATAAATACATGTAAAAGTTTTTGATTAAAAACATAGCCTACACTATACCCTTGTACACCCTAATTGTTCAGGGACTTCAGAGAAGTAACCTAGTTAAATCTGGCTCAGAGTATCTATTTTGTTTGTAGCATTCAATAAATAGTTTACAAATAGACTACAATGTAGTTGTAAGTAGATATAAGTGTTTATTAATGTATTTATCAAAACAAACCATAACTTCACCTGTGGGCTCCTATAAGTGCAGGCTGTTGTATAAATATATGATGAATGACAAAATCGGAAAACAAGCATTTAAATGCTAAATAGGGGGAATTAAAGCAAAGTGTTGCCATAACATGTTTTTGTGCATGGTTCTACAGACAAACAAAAAAAAAGAAGATAAATAGATGCAAATACACAAGGTATAATTTAAAACTATTTGAATACAAAGCTATAACTCGCTTCTATCATTATTTTCAAAAAAAATGGATGGAAACTGATCACTGTCTTCACATAAGTTACAAAAAGCCATAAAAACGACGAACTGTTCTCGGAGGAAATAGAATCATAGGGAACAGGAAGTAGCTCTCAGCCAATCGGCTTTTGCAAAGCGTCCTAAGCTGACGTCAGCCCGGTACCGATGAACAGCCGGTAGCGTTGAAGAGAACTGTAAGGCTGCCCGTCGTTTGTAGCTTTGTCCGCTAACCCCCTCCCTGTCAAACGTGCAAACATCATGCCTTTCGATGTTAGGAGGTGAGTACGGGGCTTCCGTTCATTGGGATTTAGACATGAAGGGACGGCGGGGGGGTTCTGCAGTCGGTGAGCTCTGGATGAATTAACTGGCTGGCAAAGCATCGCCAACTAATGAGCGAGTCTCAGTCGGAGCAATACCGTTTCACATTTGGCATGAATGGGCCACATTGTCGCAGGGGTGTAGAGTTGTTGTTGAGTCGGTGGAGTGATGCTCAGGTATGCTCACTGAGGTTTTGTCTGGGTTCCAGCCTGCGCATGTGCAGATTTCCTCATCCTTCCTAATATTTGCAAGAAGTTAAACTAATAACAGTAACCTCAGAGCATAGTAACAGTTATTGTCAACACAGTGGTGTCATAGCCGCTTGCTATAATAAGCAAAAGTAACAGTCTGGTTTAGTGTTGTTTACGAATCAATAATCTTAATACACACAAATGTGTCAAAGCATTCAGAGTCATTCAAAACAGTAAGAAACAGACGGTGGGCAGTCAGAAATACACCTGAGCAGAAGTACTGCAGAGCCATTCACCTAATCTGTTGATACTCTATTAGCACAGAGCTAATAGTCACACCTACTGTACAGGGCTGTTGAAACTGTCAATAGAGCACACCCTAATCAAAATAAAGGACAGGATGTTTGCACAGTGGTCACTTCATACTATTGGGCTGTGACAGATACCGACTGGTGGTCTGTCAACAATTTACATTATGAATACTCAGTCCTTAAATCAGAGTCTTAACTTTGTCAAGGTAAAAAAAAAAAAAAAAAAGCTAAAGTAGTAGGACTACAAGAAACAATTATTTTTACTGGTTAATCTGCCAGTTTGTTTCAGTTGTTATAATATGCAACAAAATTGTCAAAAAATCAAAAATGCCCATCACTACTTTCCCAGAAGTCAAGGTGAAGTCTACAATACCTTGTTTTTTTCACCAAAAGTCTAAACCCCAAAGATATTCAGTTTTCAATGATATGACAAAGAAAACCAGCAAAGTCTCTTATTTGAGAAGCTCACACAAGAAAATGTTTTGTATTTTGTACTGTTTTTGTTCAAAAATGTAGGAGTACTTTAATATTCTAATTTTATTTTATTTTGAATTTCAAAGTTTTCATTAGGAAACATACTGGATTTATGTCCTCAGTAATAATTAGTGGTTGGTGATTTGAATGATATTATTTCTGATCACAATAGTGCAGAAACATTGAGTAATTGATTAGTTGATCGACATAAATATAAAAACTTCAGAGAAGAAAATCAAGCAAATGTGAATATTTGCTTTTCTCTGGTTTATATCAATATATAGTTAATATCTTAAGGGTTTGTAGATGTAACCTTGGTAACTGATAATGAAAATGATTGTCAGTTGCAGCCTTAGCTCACTCACGAGCTGCCTTTCTCTCAAACTATTAACAGTTGCTGTCATCCTTCCTACAGACCACAGCCGTGTCGCAATAAGCAAATGAATTTACCAAAATACAGCATCTGCCGTATATCTCTTGTTTCGACTGCTACAATAGATGATCTGTGTTGGAGGGTTGTCTGAGAGTGAATGTGTCATTGGGTTAGGAACTGGTCATTTCCTGTTCAGATGCTTAAGTGATACCATGATCATACAAAACTCATGTTGCAACAGCTGGAAATAGCTCGATTGACGAACCAACTGGTTGTTTCGCTCAGTCAGAAACATCGGCGGGTTAGTCAACAGGATGAGTGTGTGTAACGATATAGATTACCGTAGGTTACGCCATACGTTAGGGTAGCATGTATTCCCAGAATGTTGAGCTGTATTAGATTAAATATAGATTTTTAACAGCGGGTGTTGTATATTTTTCTTATATAAGCAAAACCAATGAAAAGACTAAAATCAACAATGTGTGAACCGGTCTCTCATTACTTTCTGACTTTCCTATCCTATCAGTTACACTTAGCCCCAAGCTCATTGCATCTTTCATAAGAGATTTTGTAAATCTTAAGAAACGGATCACAAATCACAAAAGCAAGACGATACATGTATATCAGACTTTGGGTATGTGTTTCAGTAGTTGTATGTAGGATAAATTCATATTCATCCGTCCATAATGTGTTTACGCTTACTTTAAAGCAGCTATTTGTAAGTTTAGCTATTGTTACATAGCCAGCATTAGCATTAACAGCTATTTATTTACCAGTCTTGCCAAGAGCTTCAGCCATTGTTGTATTTACAAGACAAGGCTATAATGCGTACTCAGAGCAGCCCTATTTCTTCAGGGCAGACTGGGCGATACTCGGTATCGGACAGTGACCAGACTGTCTGTCGGGCCGGGTATAGCTGGTTAGCATGATGACCTCAGTGACAGAAGCAAAACAACAGTCAACATTGGCATTTCTTTCCACCGCTGGAGACAGCTCTTGGCGAGTAAAAGACTGAACTTTGATGCTGAACTTGCAACGTCTCTAATGTTGGCTATGTAAAAATAGCAAACCTTACAAATAGTTCCTTTTAAATAATCTAATATTGTATTTTTTTAAATTTTAAAATTTTAATTTTTTTACTCTCAGTTAATTACTAATATAAAGAAAATTTCTTGTACCCTCACAAATCATTAATCATTTTACACTATATTTGATTATTTTATAGTTTCATTCAGTTTCCCATGATGTAATCAAAAACGACCTGACTGGATTGGATGTCAGATTCATGTTCTGAGATGCTTTGTTTCTTGATCTACTACCAAAAATGGCAATAACACTGTGATTAGTTATAGCAGCATGTGCTGACTTGCTGTGTTACTTTTTGATGGTGTTTCTGCACAGCTTCTAACAATCAGCTTCTAATTATAAGAATTCCCTCTTTCAGAATGACTGAGCAGCAGCTCTTTTGATTGAATGAGTGAATGGCTGAGAGGCTTTTATCCCCACGTTTAATTGACCTTCAGAATTATGTCATTTATTGACATATGTAGGCATGGTTTGGGCCAACCTGATGAGGTAGTGTGTTTGCCTCTCTGGTGATTAGATCATGGTGACTTAGAGTTTCAGTACGGATGCTGACAGTGTTTTGTCAATGCATGTTATATCTCTTAATCTTGACAGTGTTGGGTGACTTTGCAGTTTAATACTTGACGTACACTTTCACCAGATGACTGAAATAGAAATCTACTTACACAAGTAAGCATGCGTTACCTATGTAAGATGATCACATGTGAGAAGAGGAACTAAACAATCTATTAATGTGGAGGAATACATAAAAGGGGTGAAGCAGTGACTCATTGTGACTCATTTGCGAGATATGGTTCATTTAGTCAGGTTCCTTCCTTGAAAAGCGGCTCTGTGCTTTCACTTCATGGTGTCAACAGAGAGATACTGGTACACCATGTCCTCACTAATCACAAAACATCTGCGGCCTTTACAGAAGACCGAGCAGTGTGAAGTGACGGAGGGAGATGTGTTGACTGTAATTCAGGAAATTACCAACGTCAGTGTTAGACCAAGAGATGAACTCTTGGGAGTCATCATTAATATTCATGAATACAAAGTGTTCGCAGTGAAGGAAATTACTTGAAACTGAGTTCTCATCCAACCTAAAAATAAGTCTCCCTAAGTCTAGCAAAGGTGTTGTGGACGTATTTAAGTACTGTTGTGCACCTCTGACAAAATCTGCTATAAAATGTAATGTAACTATATAAAATAAAATACATTTTAAATTATGTATGACAATACTTTAAATAAATACACTTAAGTAAATGTATTTCTTCACAAAACAGAGGTTGTCTTTATTGCCATAACACTTGTGTGTTTTGTATTTCAATGAATGCATTTTAAATGATATGTTATGATATACATTAAATGCTGCCTTACCAAATTGATTCACATATTTCAGTTAAATTAAACAAAAGCCATGTCATGTGATATAAAAAATATATTTTCAACTGGTGGAATATAAGGTATGCTATCAAATATATCAAATATTTTATTCAGAAATATTCGGATTTATTCCAGTAATATGTTTTGTAATACAACTAACATAACAGATGTCAACATTATAGCATTTCAATTTTGCATTCAGTATGAGAAGTGTCTTTATTATGACATTTCAGCTCAAACATAAATTAAACCTGCCATAATTCTGTCAGATTCGAATGACTATGTATTTATTCATCTGCCCAGCATTTTCAGTGTTGGGAGGGATTATAACTGTGCTCATGAACACCTGCCTTTTTATTTTAATGTAATACAAGAGCTCAGTCAGTCTCCGTCATATCAAGGCAGAATGATGAGTTTGTGTGTGGGGGGGGTTACGTGTGATTCCCTGCTGTGACTTTAACAAGCAAAAAATATGGTTACATGGTTTTTGTGTTAGACTGCTGCAGCAGGAGGCCAACATATCACGTGACTTCAAATATTTAACTAAATATCATATCAATATCAAGATAGTGCTGGGATGCCATTTTATTAATTTTCTCCACCTCTCCATCCCTTAATTTAGAGTGTAACTCAGGCCTTGTGTCCAGATATATCCGGCCTGTCTACTGTACATCAATCTGAGACTATTTACAGTTCACATCAGTTGCATCAGATTCCATGTCAGGTCTCAAGTGACCACTTGAGTGAGATTTTGTTTCCTCACTCACATTTGATTTTAGCAGTGGGAGACCACGACAGCTAAAAAAAAAAAGATAGTCACACACCAAGAGATGAGGATCTCTGTGAGTATTTATAACCTGGTCTCCAACTTGGCTGCAGTCATTGGCGTCATGTGTTTGTGATGTAGCTTGAGCATTAAGGAGTTTGTTTAAATGTGTAATAATCAGTGGCATCTTACAACCTTCTTGCACAATTTACTTTCTATAGTTCTTTATATTATTGGCACTGTGTATATACGTCACATCTCACATGGCAACGTTTCAACAAATACACTTCTTGTTTCTGTCTTGGCCACTTTGACCACAAATGCGGTTTGGAGTTTAAGAAAAGAAAGTTGACAAAGTTTCCAAAACAACACTGGTTGTTTATTTTCTCTTGACAGGAGAACCCACACGGGGAGGGTGTAATCCTTGATCTGAGCTCAGAGAGACAGAAATCAGGAATCAGGAGTTTCAAGGTTTTCACATGACAGCAGTGTACATCACTGTGCCCCACCTGTTTGGTTGTTTCATGGGGTCAGCACTGTGGCAGGGTGGAGAGGATGTGAGGGAAGGAGATTCTGCCTCTCTGCACATGAAGCTTAACATTCAGGAAGTGTGTTAGTGTAGAAGTTATTCTGATCCTGCATACAGACGACCCCTCCCTGAGTTCCCCTCCCAGCCCCCTCTCTATGCTGTCTGTCCTGTATATCCAGCCAGGCTGGCTATTAGCGCACAGTGATCTAATACTGATGGGACATCGGTGCAGGAAGTTATAGATGGATGCGGATCAGAGGGAGAGAGGAAGAGATGAAAGGAAGCTGGCCGAGGCGTTTAGGATCCAGGGGTCCGTGTGCACTAGATGAAAACACAGGAGCGAGAACAGGAACTGTGGCGAAACAAGAGAAGCAGCAGGGTCGGAGCTGGACAGGAAGCCCTCCCTCCCACTTCCTCCAGCCCCCCACCCCCCACTGCCCTGCATTGCATCAGCTGTGATTACTTCTCTGGCAGCTAACGGTGGAAGAAATTTGAAGAGATGTGAGTGTTTTGGAAGGAGATGAGGAAGGAGCGAGAGAGAGAAAGAGAGTGTGTGTGACGGGAGATGAGAAGTGAGGGTGGGTGGGGTTTACATCAGTCAGCAATGGAGTTTGGGGTCGAAAATGTTTCACTGCCCAAAAAGGACATGCGCAAGAACTCATGAACCTAAATAGTTTTGGTGTTGAGTAGTTTTTCCCCCTTCTGAGCTCCCCAAATAGGCAACAACAGTATTTCACAAGAGGGCTGTGGTTGTGTCAGGTGGTAATGATCCTCCTGCGCTTCTGATTCACTGATGTACACACAATCCTTTTTTTTTTCTTCTTTTTTTTAAATACCTACGTTGATACAAAATGTTAAGTTGAAGATTTAAATGAGAATAAATCTACAGCCTGATGTTGTCAGACTGAATCCTTCACTGCTGGTGTTGTTCCACTTACTGCCAAGAAGATCAAACCATATGACTGGATCATCGTAAATTGTTACTACAGTTGTGTTTGTATTCCTCTATGTCTGTTTTCATTGGTGTGTCTGTGTGTTGTGTTTATGTTGGCTTTGTGTTTTGCTGTGTACATGCAGAGTGTGAGAGACCTTTTGTTGGGGTCAGAATTACAGAGCACACATTCACAGGAAGAGGTGTAACCCTGTAGTGTGTGTGTGTGTGTGTGTGTGTGTGTGTGTGTGTTGCGGCTGGCTGTCTGGACCTGTTATGTGTAATGGCAGTGGTCCACAGCTAACATTCCACCACTCTTCTGTAATATCGCACAGCCTGATGGGTACAGAATGTGCTTCTTTTCTCAGCACGTAGTGTTTACATTTGCAATTTTTTTTCTCACTCCTCCTTTCCCTTTTTTTTTTTTGTTTCCTTCTCTTCCTTTCTCTCCTCAGATTCGATATCTACAGGAAAGTGCCAAAAGATCTCACCCAGCCCACATACACAGGAGCATTCAGTGAGTAGTTCTTCACCCTCAACGGGCCAAAAATATGAGGCTCTTTTTTTGGTTGTTTTTTATTTTTATATGTTGATTAATCAAGTTTTAGTTGCCCATTTGTCCAAGTATGTATTTGGAATCACTGAGTGTTGCTTCTATAGAAAGTATTTAGCATTAAATATGCAAAATGTTTGGTACAGATTTGGTTCAATAAAGTTCTATTTCCACTTGTGTCACTAACTTAAAATCTGTTTATTTGCTTTCTTGTTGAAAGTTAGCTGAAAAGATTGAAGCCAATCTCATGTACATAAAAAATTAAACACCACCACCAGTAGATAGTTAGCTTAGCTTAAAGAAAAAAGGGAAACAACTAGCCTGAGTCTGTCCAAAGGTAACAAAGTGTAAATCTTACACATTATTGTGTCAGTTTTTGTAAACATCACATAAACAAGATTTGATGTGTTAGCGAGCTTTATAGCTGCTAGTGGTCTAACTGTTTCCAATCCTTGTGCTGAGCTAAGCTAACTGGCTACTGGTTCTAGCTTCATAATAAAACCACAGCTTTTCATTTTTATTCAGTTTTTTGGTATCCACCTTCTCATCCAGCCGTGACCAAGAAAGAAGACAAGTGTCTACAAATGATGTCAAACTATTCCTTTGAATGTTTCTGTTCACGCTTTTCATTTTTTCAGCAATTTCATTAGCTAACTTAGCCTTAAATTGCAGTACTTGCAGCATTTTGTTTCAATTTGTATGTTTCAATATTGTGAATGTTTTGTGTATTTTCTTTTCAGTGAAACGAAAACAACCAAAACAAAAGTAACAGAGACAGACTTTCATCAAAATAATACCTTTTTGGATGATTTATTTCAACTAATAGTCATGTTTTATGTCACATTTTGCTATTCCTACCATCTACAAAACCCTGTGGCTCTTAGATAGCAATAACAAATGACTTTGCCATTCTAGTAGTGCTTAGCTAGTGGTAGTATTTAGCATACCTGTAGAGTTTAACGTGCACGCTTTTCATTAGAATGTAAACACAGAGAGAGAGAGAGAGAGAGAGAGAGAGAGGTACCAGTCACTACTCAGTGGGTGGATGTATTGAGGAACAGTTTAGGAAAAGGGAGGAGATGACAGCTGTAAATCAAGTACCTGTCTCAGCGCAGAGGTGTATCCCAACAGAGTCAGTCAATGGGCAGTACCTGTTTTGCTACAACTAGTATGGTAAGAATGTTAATGAGCATGCTCTTTCATTGCCACAGGCACCTGAGAAGTCATCACTGTGAATCTGAATGGTTTTCCTGTCAGATCATGTGTTTCGTGCTTGTCACCAACAAATCATTGTGTAATCAGGGATAGTATTGATTATTCACTCTTAAACAGCATACAAAAGACCTGATGACACATTTTTGGTTATTCATTGAGCAGCGCAGGGTAGAACTGAATGTCAGCTCCAACCTGATGACAGTGTGGATAAACAACGCTGTTAGTGAATAGTGAACATTTTTACACAGATTATAAACACCTTCCTGGATGACAGGGAAGAGAATGAATTTGCTAAAGATATACACACGAGTTTCCACCCATGAGGAAATGGATGGAAGTTCTTCCTGTATGGAGTTGACTCCCTTCCTGTCTCCGTCCTCTGTCTAGGGGTGAGGGCATTTGGTTGATTTGGATATTAGACAACTGTTAGTGCCGCTCAACTTACAGTTTGGTTTGTGTGGTTCAGAGGCAACCAGAAACAGACTCCCTCTTTCACAAAAGGCCAAATATTTGACCCCAAGTGCTTTTGTTATTCTGTTTTAGGGCCACATTCCTTTGGCTTCAATTTTTACGGTATTTACTTTGAACAATAGCTCTGTTTTTGCAACAGTGGTTTTTCCGGAGCCCTTCTCACTTTGGACATAATATATCAATCTGTTGTTTGACTGATTTGTAGTAATTATATTATTTGTTTGTCCTGCCTGTGCGGTGTGGGAGAAAATGAGCTTCGGGTAGAACAAAAATAAATAGAACATCTGATTACAGAAGTGTAGGGCTAGTTTTGGTGTCATGGACTGATTCATGGTGTTATCATATCCAATCCTTTGTGTCACAGCTCTGAAAGAAAAGCTTCCTCTCTGTGAGAATGAAGCAACTTTTGAGTCTATTTCATCTTAAGTGTGAGCACTAGGATGGATGAGCTAAGGTTTGGAAAAAAAAGAAGAAAAGAAAACACTCATGTGAAGTCTTTGTAAATCATTTGCCTTGTCAGTATTTCCATTGCAGAGCTGTTGAAGTTTAAATCAGCAGCAGTCCATTACACTCATCTTTAGTAATCCCCTTCCAGTATTGCACCCTTTGAAGCTCAGGAAGAGATACTGTACTGTCTTTTGATGAACCTGAATAAGTGACCTATGTGTCATAGCGATGCTTCCTATTGTTTGTTGGTTAAACATTACCTTATGTAAAGCCTCTGCCAACCACAGGTTTGGCTGTGACGCTCTGCCGACCACAAGGTCATGTGACTGTGATCCTGGGAGACGGTTGTCACGTAAACACGCCTCACCTGCTGAGTGAGAGCTTGTCTGACTGAGGCTCTTGTCATACCAGATAGACCACAGTTGCGCAGACACAGATCAGCTCCTTCCATATTTATCTTAGTAAACACATGACGTTTTTATATGACCCTTCGGCTGATTAGTTTGACACATGAAATGAAACAGGCAGCCTGGCTGCTTCTCCTTTTAAGCTCAGACTTTATTTTGGCTCAGATTGAACAAAAATACTTAATATTTAAGGTTAATATTCCTAATCTGGTCCCTGTCTTGCTGTTCATTAAAACCTTCACTGTAAAGCTTCTTTGTTGGAGCCATTTTTGGTCTGGGTGATTGTGTGAAGTTTGTTTAAGGAAACCCAAAAAGAGCCGTTTGTAGGACTTGTGCAGCATGAGCTCACCCCTCTGAAAGCAGATATGCTGTAATGGCTGCCTGTTGTGCTGGTATTTAATGTGTAATTAGTGTAGGAGGGTCTTTTAAAAACCTGCGTAATGGCAGGCTTAACGTTGCCAGTAAAACAGCTATTTCGGGACAATTTTTACGGCTGCTGTGATTTCATTAATGTCAATAGCTTAGGTCAGCCATTCTCAAAGGTTGGAAGAGCCCTCGCTCATTTTGTTTACATCATTCCTTGAAGTGCCGTACATAAAACTCAGCAGTGACTTAAGTTTAAACAAGGTGTTCATTCTAACTTTCTTCCTCTTTGCCCACAGTTTCCATTCTCTGCTGTGTCTTCATACTTTTCCTGTTCCTGTCTGAGCTGACGGGATTCATAGCCACTGAAATGTAGGTATCAACACCAGTCGAACTGCCTTTAACAGCCGCGTTATCTTGTAATATCCTGTAGCTGAAACAATCGAATCGTAAGACAGTCCCCTCTGTTGCCACACAGGCACAGGACCTGCCATCTGAAATATACAAGACAGGAACTTAATCATGAATGTCGTTGCCCTCATTATGATGTATCCTGCTCGGCCTGTGTTGTAACCAATGAGTGGAGTCAATTGTCTCACAGGAAATTGGCTTTGTGCATGCGTCAGCCTCTTGGCAATGTGTAATAAGTGATGACTTGGGGAGGGTGTGACAGAAAGGAAATACACTGACACAGATACACAAATGCTCTTTTACTTGCAATTTGGCAGAAGATGAATCCTCGACTGTTAAAGTAGTGCGCAAATGACACGTTGTCAGAGGAGAAACTGGTCTTTTTCTTAGTATAAATGACTTTTTTCCCCCTCTCATTAAAGGTTTCAGCTTATCTAACTGTTTTTCTCTTTTCTGCCTATTACAGAGTAAATGAACTTTATGTGGATGATCCTGATAAAGACAGTGGTGGGAAGATAGATGTGAGTTTAAACATCAGTTTGCCAAACTTACACTGTGATTGTGAGTATATACATATATATATATATATACATATATATAACCCTCAGTTTCTCTTCATTACACTTCCTGTTTGTGTGTTATGTTTTTCACACTGTTTATGTCCTCTTTTTTACAGTTTGTTTTTCCCTTTATCAGACAGTGGCATACTTGCCCTGCCCTATCATTTAACACGGCATATTGGCAAAAGATAAATGATTCCCTAGATAAAGAATAGACTCAAAGCTACACAATGGTTTGTTTACCCTGCGGTGTTGTTGCATGCTGCTAGATAACACTAGACTTTACGCCAAACCTCAGATCTGTGTCGCTTCTGTTTGATCTCATGCTGCCACACAGCCGTGATCTGAGTTTGACATGAAGTTGCCTCGGTTGGCTCGTCTACTGTACTTTGGATGTCAGAGAAGTGGGCAGGGCAGTTGAAGCGTGCCAGGACGGAGAGCAGTCACTGGTTATTTGCTCCTCATGACTCCCCTCAGAAACTATGCCCAATGACAAATCACACACGCGCACACACACACACACCACATCCATGTACACACACACACACACACACTGGTGCTACTCCGGCAGCACAGAAAACACACACATCCATTCAGTTCAAGCGATATCCAAAAATGGCAAAGCCAATAAATGCTTGTGTGAAAAATGAAGTCCAGATTTCAGCGAGAGAGGCTTTGGCATGCAGACACACAGCTGTTGGCCATGTGTTTAGACAAGCTCGCTCATGGCATGCCTAAACAAAGGCCGTCCCCTGCCGTTTCCAATTAAAGCTCTTGATTATTGTATGTATGGTGGTTTTGTTTATTTGCAGAATTTAAACTTTTTTTTTTTTTTTTTTTGTCAGAAATGTAGGGTGCTCTTAAATACCAGTTCAAACACGTTGGTGTAACCACAGTGCAGCTGCATGTAATGAGCAGAAATGTTCCTCAGGCCTTGCCCCTGCAAGTTAATATTGTCAGTTTATTTTCCAGGCCTCCAAACAGGTTGTCATCCATTACAAATTTACTTGCAGAGAGAAATCATTCTCATCATGGAAAAGCTGGCATTTCCATCTCTTTTTACTATTTATCTGCTCTGCTGCTCCAGAGTTAAACACTGTCTCCCTCCACTGACCTTTACGGGTTGCCAGGTCTTGATTTGTGACTTCATGGAAAAGCAGAACCGCGTGTAATACCCTTATAATAACCCCCCCCACACACACACACACACACATACACACACCAGCCCACCCACTTTACATGAACACACTTCCAGTCCTAAATGTCTTAAAAAGGAGAAACAACCAGCTCTCACACGGGCGGACTTCACTCACATTTGTGCACTGTATTTTGAGATGTAGGTAGACGTGGGGCAGAGGGGGGCAGAGGGGGGGAGGGGTCAAATTTGTCTTGAATGTCAAAGGTCAGACGGACGGCGTGTGGAGGTTTTAGCACAGATCCAGCAGACATCCCTTTCTGCACTGCTGGCCAACACACAGCACAGGCAGCCTCTGAAAATAGGCCACTGCCAGTGTGCCAATGCACGTCGGCTTGCAGGGGAGGGGGTGGGGGGTGGTGTGGAAGTCTAGATGGAAAAACACAGACGGAGAGGGCAACAGGCAGGAGAGGTGGTCTGTTTGGACTTTGTGTGTTTACTTTGCGGGCCACACTGTTGTGATATTGAGAATCTCTCTCTTTATTCTTCTCTTTCTCTTCTAATGGAAAGTACCAGTTTGCTTGTTGAATGTAGAAAAAAAAAGAAAAAAAAAATCTGCAGCTAATGATTATTCTCATCATCTGTAAATCTATCATTAATGTCTTTGATTAACCAATGAATAGTTTAATCAATAAAGAGTCCAGTCACAAGATGGTGACGTCTTCACACAACTTGTTTTGTCTGTAATGATGCACTTGGATAAATTTAGGATTCATTCATTTTTTATTTTTTACTCTGTTGAACTCAAAGACCAAAATAAAGATCAAAATTGAGGAAAGCAGCAAATGTTTTTTATAGAGCTGAAACAATGCATTGATTAGTCAAACAACAACAACAACAAAATGATTTTCAGCAAATTTGAAAATTGATATTTAATAATTTGTTAAGAAAAAATTCAAGTGTCCTCTGGTTTCTGCCTCTCAAATGAGAACTTTCTATGTTTCTGTGTGTTATATTGTGCTAAATTGAGTGTCTGGATTTTGTGTGTTAATCGGATAAAACAAGAATTCTGAGGACGTCACGTTGGGCTCTGGGGAACTGTCAGAAACTTTTTCAGTGTTTTCTGGCATTATTTTTACATTAAACCAATCACTACAACCGATGAATTAATTTAGAATAAAGGATAGATAAATCAGTAAAAAAAAGTTGTCAGTTGCAGTTCTAGTTTCTGTGTTTTCTTAGCACTTGAAAAGTAAAAGTTTGAAACCGGCAGAGGAAACTGTTTAATATTTTGGTTCATATTCTCTCTTGTTCATTATATATTTCAATTTTCTCCCGTATCTCTTTGTTTTCTTCAGTGGTAGGTTTGGACATCCAGGATGAGATGGGCCGCCATGAGGTCGGTCACATTGACAACTCCATGAAGATTCCTCTCAACCAGGGTGACGGTTGTCGCTTTGAGGGAGAATTCACCATCAACAAAGTAAGGCGTCATCTCATAGTGGAGCAGAGAAGAAGAATGACCCCCCACACACTCGAGGGATTACTTGTTTTATGTGCCTGATCCCCCCCCCCGCCCCCTAGGAAATGGCAAAAGTCAGTCTTTTCTGTCCAGTAATTACATTATGGTGGATCAGATAAGAGTTTTTGTGGGACCTAAGCTCTTGGACTATATGCCGTATATTTGTCTTGCACTTGAGTTAAACATAGTGGCTGATCCCCTGTCTGAGACAAATGAGCCCGACCTGCTTCCTCCTCCAGTCTAAATTGAGTTATGCTAAATGGAAGAGCTCGGGGATTCAGTTACACCTGACAGCATACTACAGTCTGGGCCCCGTGAAGCTCTGTTTGTCCCACCACCACTTTGTGCGTCAGTCTTTCCATTGCATTTAAAATGATTAACCCAGCAGTTGTACATTTAACACTCTTGCTCGTGGAATAAATGGAAATATGTGGAACGTGTTAAAGTGGGAAGATTTTTCTTCCGGAGGCGCGGACCTTTTAGTTTCCAACTGAGAGAGTGTGTTGTCAGACTCCGTCATTAGTTAACTAAATGTGTTGCAGGTGCTTGTGCTGTTATTGGCTTACAAACTTTGCTGTGTGTATGTGTTTATGCGTGTTGCCTGCCTTCAGGTACCAGGAAACTTCCACGTTTCGACACACAGCGCTACTGCACAGCCCCAGAACCCTGACATGACACACACCATCCACAAACTGGCCTTTGGGGAAAAGCTTCAGGTAGGAACACACACACAAAACACAGCCTAGAAAACTTGACAAGATCTGCAGCATGAAGGCACAACACAGATCTCTTTTTTTCCCCCTTTTGTCACACAGGTACAAAAAGTACAGGGAGCCTTCAATGCGTTAGGAGGGGCCGACAAGCTCTCATCTAATCGTACGTATCCAAACTGCACATGTACTCATCATAACCACTATGTGACTTTTATGTAAGGCCACTCGCGTGATGCAATGAAATGAGACACCTAGTGGACGGCAATTAAATCCAAACACAGTGGAAATTTGATTCAAACAGCTGACACTGCAGCTCAAACAGAAAGTCTCCAGCCGTTTGCGTCATGATCAAAACTGTATCCATTTTTGGACCCGGAAACGACATTTTGTCATTGAAATTACTTTGTTGCTCTTGCAGCTCTGGCCTCTCATGACTACATACTGAAGATTGTTCCAACAGTGTATGAAGACCTGTCAGGCAGACAGAGGTTCTCCTACCAGTACACGGTAGCCAACAAGGTGCTGTATCCTCGCTATTACCTCTCTTTTTCTTTCCACCCTTCTCATTAAATCACACCGCTATGTCATGTTGTTTTTGCACTCGTCATGGAAGCAGAGTGACCATCCCAACATATGGCCCGAGCATGTATCGCCGTGTTAACTTGTGCACTCACCCGGAAGTGAAAGCTCACCCCTAGTGACTGGAAAAGCTCCCTAGATGTCAACAAACCATAAACACACTTCCTAGAACTGTGTTGACTGACAGCTGGGTTTTGGAGTTTGAAGTAATAACAGTGCAGGTCAGCTGTGAAGCGGGGAGGATGAGGGCCTGAGCAAAATATTCCAAAATCTCATTGCAGGAGCATAAATAAAGGTCCAGCTGAGGCACGCATCTGTGCTTGGACTTCAACAGTCTTTTTTCCATGATAAATTTATTATTCTTATCAAATTTATTGTAGGTATATCAGGATTGATTCAGTAGAAATGTGATTTATAGAAACTCACTGATAGTCCTGTCATCACATCACGTAACAATAACTCAGCTCATTGTAGCCGCCTCCTGCTTACTTCATCTGAGTTTATTCAGCCAAGGTTCTTTTTGTTTCTACAGTCATTTTAAGATTTTTGAATGACTTCACTCAAAACCAGTTCTGTAATGACTCGTAAACATCACTACAGATGAGAATGAAATTACAGTTTGCTCTAAATAGTTTTCTAAACATAATGGGATTGACTGCCTCAGCGTTGATTAAATCGATCTTACATGTCGCAGAGTCCAAAACACTTTTTGTAACACGCTCTCTCTTTTTTTTTTTTTCCTTCCCACACAGGAATACGTTGCTTACAGCCACACGGGCAGGATCATCCCGGCCATCTGGTTCAGATACGACCTCAGTCCAATCACGGTCAAGTACACGGAGAGGAGACAGCCCTTCTACCGCTTCATCACAACAGTGAGTGGATTCACCTCTGGGATTTGAGAGAAACCAAAATCTGTGGCAAAATGTCTTACATTAATGTTGATTTATTTAAATTCAAGGCCTTTCAATGTCTTATAAACAGTGAAAGTGATGATTTTAAAACACTACCTCAAAGCGGTTCTAATGTATTTTTAACAACGCCAGTAGCTTGGTCAGTGGGTCGAAATTTGACAGAAATTCATGATGCCCAGAGGATGAATCCTATTTTTCCTCTTGCGCCACCATCAGGTTCGAAAATTAGTCTAATACTTTGTGACCAAATACCTACACATGTTTAACATTATACCTACTAAAAATCAACATTTTAGTTCCCCTCAGCTCACAGAGCCTTTTATCTTCTTTCAGATCATTGTTTCACTTTTCCAGCCGACCACTTTTTGATTTTGATTGACCCATAGTGCTCTCATCAGTGCTGTTTTCATCAGCAGGCAACAGTTTACCTCAAGACATCTCTGATAAACCCACTGTACGCTACCTGCCCATCACCATACAGAAGACAGTTAGTGATTAGCTCGTGAACGTAGCAAACATTTAGCAGCTAATGAGCTATATATTTCCCTCAGGAGTTGATAGAAACAAAAAACTGAGCCAAAAGGAGAGGGGATATTTTCTTGTATTCATCAGGTGGCCAGAAATACAACTTCAGGTCAATGCTAATGTTGCTCTGTGTCTGCTGGATGTGTAAAAAGGCTGTTAGCTAACATGTTAGCCATAACAGCTGTATAATTCCAGCGTTTTGTGTTGCTCCAACATCAGTAAAACAATGTAATGTTATATTATTAAATTGATCAGTTGTTACACAGTATGTCTCACAGACCTAAAGTGGGACTACTTCTGTAGTTTTTCACTTTTCACATTTAGGTTTCTTTTTTTTTAGTGGTCATATAAGAGGTCTTATATTTTCTATATTTTCTTTGTTTCTTTATATTTTGCCTTGTACAAAAAATTCCTTTTACCTCCTAAATTCCTTTTATCTGACTCCATCCCCCACCTGACCCTGTCAGTTGAGAAATTTTTTGCTGTACCACCTCATGAGGAAAGTTTCCTGCTGACTGATAATGCAGTCAGAGGTATATTGGCTGCTGGCTGTTGAGATACACTGTTATTTGTCCTTTGTGTTGTTTAGGTTTATCATGACTTAAGGCATGGGTAGGAGATGACTGTGCGTATAGTGTGATTATGAGTCATGGCTTAAGATTGTGAGTCAAGCAGCAGCAGAGCTCTTTGCTGGACTCCAGTGCATACCGAGTTGTCCGTGTAATGTATTGTTACGATTAAATGTGATTAAAGCCAGCTGATGTCGAGCCATTTATAACCAGAGAAGAAAACTTAACAGCTTTGAAACACTGAGACTGACGGGACGACTTGTTTTCTGTAGATCTGTGCCATTGTTGGAGGGACGTTCACAGTCGCAGGCATCATCGACTCCTGTATATTCACCGCTTCAGAGGCCTGGAAGAAGATCCAGATAGGAAAGATGTCATGAGGATCGCTCCTCACCTTACCCAACACATTTTATTTATAAGTGCAAAGTTGCTAGCCTGTTAGCTAAATCCAGTTCTGCTCGAACCAACTTCCTTGTGGAGATTGTATCACCGTGACCAATGAAGTGGCTCCGGCACTCGATCTAACTACCAGGCTACACGCCACTACTGCATCTCAGTTACTGGGGCTCCTCTCAGGCTCCCATCTGCTCTGCTGACGTGTGGACGCTGACTATCACATGTCTGCTTCCTGCATCTTCAGTGACAGGAGAGGAGAGGAGGGGGAAGCTTTTTTGTTACTGTGGAGATGAAATCTAAAGTACTGTGTGTCAGGGTTCAACCAGTATGGGTGTTTGAAGGCTGCAGCTGATATTTTTAGAATGAAGTAAAAAAAAAAAAAAAAAAATAGCGGAGATTTGTGCTGATATTCACATATTTTAAATATGATCAAGCAACACATGACACAAATCTGTACACTACATGTCTTCAATCATAGGGAAATTTTCAAATCATGGCTGATTGATTTACAGATTTAAAAAAGTGGGTGAAATCAAAATGTATTATTTACTATTTTCTATTTTCAGCCCAATCTATTTGTCAACCTGAATATCACTGTTTATTTCCCAGTACTGAAAAAGGGACTGATTGTTTGAAGGAAGTGTTGTTCTTTTCTATAAACCTGTACCTGTACCACAAAAATACATTTTCTATCACGTAACGTGAGCTTTTTTCTTCCAATCTGACATTTAATCTCCAGTATTCAAACTGTGTGCCTTTGGGTTTACTGTTCCACCATACAGGATTACATCAGCTCTTCATTATTTCATTGTTTCAGTGGCTGCCACTAAAACCAGTATTTTCACAGGTTCTTTCATGCATGTTACAGATACAGTATCTTAGATTAGGGTTTTCTTTTAATACAGCGATCATTGTGTACCTTTCATTTCATTTACACCAAATATTTCCTCAACGCTGTTAAAGGTCCTAGATTTGACTGTTTCCATTCCATTTCAGTGATTGCAAAAAAATATAGTGAATGTCTTGTTTTTGCTAAGAAATAAATTGATTTTTTTTTTTTTACATGGTACCTGAATTTGTTTACTGATTGTTAATCCATGAAGTTATTGTTATATAAATTGTGAAGAAGGTTTGGTTTTGTAAGAAGAGAACATGTAGGCCAAGATGTTTTTCCTCTTTGGTCATTATTTTTCTTTTTATACTATTGTTACTGCAGCGTCCCTGATCAAGGACGGTGATAATCACAAGCCCTCAGAACTGGTCTTTCTACTGTAAAGGTCATCCATTTCCTGTTGTGTCTCAAATTACTCTGTAATGCTATGTGTTCCTCAAGTAAAGGTACCATAGCGACACTGACTGTTGTACACTTTATTTCTTTATATTGCTATAAACTGGCTGCCATTTTACAAACTTTTATTTTGGCTTCAACTGCTCATTTAAATCTGTTTTGACAGTTTCAAAGGGCTTTGGACCATTTTTCCGACAGTTTACTAACTTTATCCATGTGCCCTTATCACCAGTTACTCATTGAAATGTAAAATGGAACACTAGCACATCTGATCTCATAACATAAACTAAGCTGTAGTGGCTCTAATTATGTTTGTATCAAGTGGACTTTGCACTCAAGATGCTGCTCATTTCCCCCAGCTGGCAGCCACAGTCAACATCATGCAGGTTGTCATTTGTGATGTGAGCATGTAAGAGGGTATTAAGCTGTCTATGCTGTCATCATGCTTACGTCCAGCTCTGATAAGAGGTGCTTAGTGTGACTCACTCCTTTATTCGCCTACACCTCTCTGTTTACCTCTGTCATTTATTCCTTGTTCATGGTGTTGTGTATCCGAGCATCTCTACAGCCACTGAATGACACAGATACTACGAATATCTGCTCGTTGCGTTGATTGGTCCACTACATGGATCATCACAGACACTGTGGTGCTCGGTCGATGTGGACCTGTAATTTACCGCAGCATGACAAATTCAAATTTGCACTTCAGACCTGCACTTTACTGGAATAATGACAGATCCTTTATATTTATCATAGAAGAGAATCAGAGAAGAGTGAGAAGATAAATTTCTTTATTTCTTCCCATATGAGTCATAATTTGTACAAATAAAGGAAGAATACTCTGTATATAAAAGATAAAAATATAATTGTGTGAATAGAAAATACTTAAGGTTTGTTTTTGTCATAATGCTGCCACCCAGTGGCTGGTTAGAGGAACTTCAGGCACATACAGCTCAGTGCGTTTGCTGAGGCAGCAGCCCGAGAGGACAAAGTAAGAACAATGAGATGAGTAGAGGTCAACTCTGGTCATAATGATCTATAACCTGATCTTCATTAATAAATGACTAGTTACATGTCAACACTGGAATGTTATTAAATCCTACACACCTCCCACAACCTGAGCTGTCCACTTTTTTTTGTTTTGTTTTAACCCCTTACGTTCTTTCAGGTTGCATCTTTGGTAAGGTTACACATTGGAGGAGGCCAGGCAGGGGGCGTCTGGCGAGGAGAAGAAGTCGCAGAAGCCCTCCTCGGACAGATGTCCGTACTCGTTGTTGTAGAAGGTCTGTCCTGACAGCTGGCTGAAGAAGTTGGGACGGTGCCTGGAGCTGCTGGCACCAAAGCTTCGACCCAGGGAACCATGGGAGGCTGTCAGAGGCTCTGTGCTGCTGCTGCTGCTTACACGACTGGGGACACGCACACACGAAAAACAGCTCATTGGTACAGGATATTATTGGTAAAAATGATCTAAATCAGTGTGTACAGTTCAGGATAGGATACTTTATAACTTGCCACTTTTTGCGGCTACTTTGTTGCATGCTGTTATATTCAGACACACTTCTGTTATAACATCACACCACTGTGTCTGTGTTCCACATTCTGACTGTACATGTGATAAATGTTCTTCCTACACTTTGCTTTAAGTAGGAGTGAGTTACTTAAATACTTTTTATTCTTCACTATTACTTTTTTAGCTTCTTTCTTTCGTGCACCCTCACATGTATTTGTCGATAATCTAACAAATACAGACCCTTGGTTTCACACTGTTGCTTACTCATCTATAAATTAAGACTGCTGATGCTTACTTCCTTTGCAAATCTACTGTCGTTTAGCTCCACATGAGGCTGTGAGTCACTCCACTCTACGTTTCCAAGCGAGAGAGAATGACAGTTTTTTCATATTAACTCAAAAACTGATATATTTGACGTTAAGATCACAGTTTCACTGTGAGTGATAAGTGTATGACAGTCCAGATGACAAACATTGTGAATAAATAACAGGCTGTATGTCTCCTGGGTGTTAGTTTCAGTTTCAGACAGGAATATACATCAATGCTTTTGTAACATTAACCTTTTAGAGACGGCACCCCTGTGCTGGTGCTCAATTCTCTCAAATTCTTCGGAGGCCAGAACCATCCCGCTGTCTGTCTGGTTATCCTGGGAAGAGACACAGTTTCACATCATGTGAATTAATTGACTTTTAGTTGCTTTGTCTGTCTCCGTCAGCAGCAAATATTTTTAGTTATTATCTGAGGAGAAAAATTCCTAAAGTTCAGTGCCATTCAGAAAATGTCACCAGCCGGTTCACATTTCTGACCATAGATGAGAAGATAAAGAGCTTACTTGAGGAGTTTTCTGCGGGTGCATCTCCAGGGGCAACTCTTCAAATGTCTTCACTCTGGGCTGACATATTTTGGAGGGTCCCACAAACACACAGCCGGCAAAGGGCACGCAGTTATAATACCTGGTCAGGAAGTATTTAGATTAGATTATTAGATGAATACACGATAGAGCTTCCTGTCTAAGTGCCAGGAAAAAGATAGGACAAAACGTTAGCAAAGTATGTCGGATTCAGTGAGAAAAACAGTATATTGTTTTTTGATTTTAAAGTAATTTTTTGTTACAAGTAAAGATGATTTCAGCTGTGTGACTTTCTCCATCAGTGTTTCTAAACTTTTACTAACTGGACACTCCCATCGCTTGCATCTGGTGGTGGAGTGATTTTCTCTTTTCAGTTCACTTCATTTGATTAATTATCAGTGAGTGAGGGCCTAGGGGCTGAAACTATTCACTATACAAGATAAGGAAAAGGTCAGAGCAAACACTATAATACAACTGGGTACAATATTTTTCCCCTGCACATAAAATATCTAAGAATAAACCTAAAAATGATCTTGGGGCTTCCTGTGAGGGCTTTTGAACATTTGTCTTCAAGAACAGTCAGTGGATTTCCTTAAAAAAAAAAAATTATTTTCACTGGACTTGACACTTCACACTAATTTCAGAGTTTTTCCATAATAGCTTGTAACATATATTTACTTTTGAAATCACAGAATTTATAGTGTAGGTTTCATGTAAGATATAAGAAACTGAAAATACAAATACAAGTTGCTCTTTATGGAACACGGGGCCTTCTTTAATATGAGGCAATACCAACAGCACAGTGAGTGACCTTTACAAACTATAAACCAGTGGGAGAGGAAACAGTCGGGGTAAGGCTTAGTGGGAGCAAAGAAGTTAAAAAAACAAAGCTGAGATGGCTTGACAGGGTAAAGAATTTTGATCACCACACCTCAGGATAAATTTAGCAGCTGTTCTGATAGGCAGAGAGATTATTTTCTCGCAAACAACCCACCAACTGTTGTCGCATTTAGATTCAAATATTGCTGAAACCTTAATCGGTGTATGTGAGTACACAAAATCACATTTTTCCAATTGAGTAGTTTCCTTCTAAGCTTAGAAAAATCAAATACAGAAAACCGTTTGTGTAAGGCCCATTCCTCATAATAAGAAGCTGATTGAGAATTACTGCAGGGTTTACATTAGTACCTGGTGGGTAGAGTGTTGCAGGCCATTCTCAGCTCCTCTTCAGATGGCGGCCGTGATGAGGCCTGTGAGAAACCGTCATCTTCTGAGCTCTGTGAGTGATTCAGAGGGATGTAGTCCTTCCCATCCTGAAGGGAATGCAGAGAAGATTTAGATCAAGACCTGAAACCTCTTTACAAAACTAAAACAAAAACATAACTTGCTAGAATGAATCTCTCTCCAGCAGTGAACTTGCAGGTAGGCTGTTGTCCTGCAGCAGGTCTCCCAGGATTTGCACCAGAGCGGGGAAGGTTGGTCTCTCTTTGGGTTCGCCCTGCCAGCAGGCCAGCATGATGCCATATCTACCAGCAGAGGGCAGCACCATCACAACAAGGACAACACTGAGGGCTTCAACCTCTGTAACTCAGTAAAATGACTGCAAATTTAATCCTGTATCGTCTCCTATATCATCTGTTTAGGAGCAGATTCTTGTTTAAAACAGAGAATAAGTGAAAGTTAACGCTTACATTTCAGGGGAGGCCGTCTCTGGTGCTCTCATCCTGACGCCGTCTTTCA